AAATCAGGTCCGGGATCCCCCCTTGCTCCCCTCCCGAACAAACGGCCCGAATCAAGTCGCCAACGGGATCCCCCCTTGCCCCTTGCCCCCTCGGCGAGGCACCCAACCTGCCGGTCCAGCCCGATTTGGGCCACAAAACAAGTTTTCCAGCCAAAGGGAGCCCAAACGCCCCAAGACCTGTGCGGGTGGTGTTCCTCACACCCCAGGCTGGGCGCCCCTGGCACAGCCTGGCCACGGTGGGTGCCCCCCCCGGGAGGCAGCCCGCTGCCCGGCAGTGCACCCAGTGGGTGCCCACCCTCACCTGGGACATCTCGCGCCCTGGCTCTCGTCAGCCCCCCCTCCCACCAGCGGGGATTTTGTTATTCATTTATAAACAATAAAACACATTTTTAGTAAGTTAGTTATGGCTCCGGCAGCGCTATAAAAGCCGCGGTCTGTGATCACCCGGCACAGCTGGGGAACATTTTGGAGCAGGCGGAGGGGAGCGAGGTGTGCTGGAGAGCTCGGCTCGGCTGACACCTCATCTGTTCCCCGGGCCGCCTCCTGCACCAGGACAGGGTTTGGGGGGGGCCGGGCTGGGTGCTGGGGGCACCCAAGGGGAAGGAAAGCACCCTGGGGGAGCCCAGTACGCTTTGCAAACGCATGCGTCACCCATTGCAAATGCGACAGTGGTGGTTGCGCACACACACACACACACACCCCCCCCAGGCCAGATCCTGCTCAGGACACGTCCCCCCTGATCCGTGCTGCCCACAGGGGGGGGACGACGAGGTCAGGGTGCAGCACTGGGGACCTTAGAGGGATCGCCGGGCTCTGGCTCAATGTCACCACCCGTCCCTTGCCCATGGCTATGAGGGAGGAGGACAGGGCGGGTCCCACAGCCAGTCTCATGGCCGCACGGTCTGGGGACTTAAGGGCATCTTAACCATCGAGGCCGAGCAGCGTGGCTTCTCTGATGTCTACGAAGGGCTGAGTTTGCTGCCTCCTGCCTCCAGAGCCGGTGGGGTGGTCGCCGGGGCAGGGGCTGAGCATCCCCAAGGCTGGGTGGGGAGCGGGGGGCAGGAACAGAGCACAGCCCCTACAATTTGTGCCACCCCGACGCACCCCAACGTCGCACGCCACCTCTCCCTCCAGAAAGTTGCCTCGAGCCCCAGAGCAGGGGACGGCAGCCGCGGTCACTGCTGGAGCACCACGGGCTCGGCCCTGACGCACCCCGGCAGGCGACGGGGAGTAAACGGGGGCTGCCCCAGCCTCCCTCTGCCCACAACCGCCACCACCCTCGGGCAGGGAAGCAAACAGCCTCCTCCGCCCCTGCCCTGCCTCTCCCCCCACCCCTCAAACCAGGGGTGAGTCTCCCAGGATCTCACTCACCCGAGCTGGCCAGGGCTGCTGCTGCCGCTCTGCCAGGGAAACCGAGGCACAGCAAGGTGTAAGGGTCTCTGGTCAAGGCCAGGCTCGGGGGACGGTGGGTTCGATGCCCGGCTCCTCTGCTGGGGGCAGGGGCTAAGAAAATCCCAGTGACACCACCATGCCGGTGTCGGAAATCCCAGGACAGAACTCAGGAGGGTTCAGGGAAAGGGACAGGCAAACGCCTGCTTGGACCTGCCCGCACCCTCCCGAGGTCACCGGCTCCCCCAAGCCAAGAGATCCGGTCGCAAGGTAAGTATTAAATCTTTCAGCGACAGGTAATCCACCCCCAGTGGGACTTGAGGAGTGAGTGGGGTCAAGGACACGAGACAACGAACCCCGTGCACCAGCTCAGCCCCATCCCTGGGTTCATCCGCTGCCGCTTCCCGGGGCAGGAGGGATGGGGACGCAGACAGAGCCCAGACACGCTCGGGTCAGAGATATCGCGAAATATATATATTTATATGTACAGCTCATCCACCCCACCCAGCGGGGCGAGGGAAGACTGCAGTCT